TAACGTTGATTGATTTTCGGATGTTAAACCATCCTTGTGCCCCTGGAATGAATCCAACTTGGTCGTGGTGAATTATCTTATGGATACATTGTTGGATTCTGATAGCTAAAATTTTATTGAGGATTTTTGCATCAGTGTTCATTAGGGAGATTGGCCTATAGTTTTCCTTTTTTGTGTTGTCCTTATTCGGTTTTGTTATTAGTGTAATATTGGCTTCATAGAACGTGTTTGGTATTGTCCCTTCCTTCTCAATTTTTTGGAAGAGTTTGTGAAGGATAGGCACTAATTCGTCTCTGAATGTTTGGTAGAATTCATTTGTAAATCCATCAGGTCCTGGGCTTTTGTTTTTGGGGAGGTTTTTAATTACCATTTCAATTTCGCTGCTTGTAATTGGTCTGTTTAGGTGTTCTATTTCTTCTTTATCTAGCTTTGGGTGATTGTAGAGTTGTAGGAATTTGTCCATCTCCTCTAGATTGTTGAACTTGTTTCCATATAACTGTTCATAGTAGTTACTGATTATTCTTTTGATTTCTGCTGTGTCCGTTGTGATTTCTCCTCTTTCATTTATGATTCTGTGTTTTTGTGCTTTCTCCCTTTTTTCCTTTGTGAGCCTGGCTAGGGGTTTGTCTATTTTATTTATTTTTTCAAAGAACCAGCTCTTGGTTTCATTGATCTTTTGGATTGTTTTTTTAGTTTCAATTTCATTTATTTCTGCTTTGGTTTTTATTATTTCTTTTCTTCTACTGGTTCTGGGGTTTTTTTGTTGTTCTTTTTCTAGATCTTTGAGCTTCGAGATTAGGTTGTTTCTTTGAGTTCTTTCTTGTTTTTTGATGTGAGCTTCTATTGCTATATATTTTCCTCTTATTACTGCTTTTGCTGCATCCCATACATTTAGGATATTGGTGTCCTCCTTGTCATTCAATTCAAAGAATTTTTTAATTTCTTCTTTGATCTCCTCGTTAGTCCAGTGGTCTTCCAGTAGTGTGGCTTTTAATCTCCATGAGGTAGGATAGTTCCTTGCCTTCTTTTTATGATTTATTTCTAGTTTGATGCCTTCGTGGTCAGAAAAGATGGTTGGTATGATTTCAATCTTGGTGTATCTGTTGATGTTTGTCTTGTGCCCCAGTATGTGATCGATCCTGGAGAAAGATCCGTGTGCGCTTGAGAAAAATGTGTACTCCGTTTTTTTTGGGTTTAGTGTTCTATAGATGTCTGTTAAGCCCAAATGCTCTAGGTCCTTATTTAGAGCTTTAGTTTCTTTACTTATTTTTTGTCTTGTTGATCTATCCATTGTTGATAGTGGTGTGTTGAAGTCTCCCACTACATATGTGTTTTCTCTGATGTCTGTTTTCAGAGAGGACAACAGTTGTCTGATATATTTTGGTGCTCTTTCGTTTGGTGAGTATATGTTAATGAGTGTTATTTCTTCTTGAAGTATTGTCCCCTTAATCATAATGTAGTGACCATTGGGGTCTCTTTTTATTTTTTTGAGTTTGAAGTCTGTTTTATCTGATATAAGTATAGCTGTTCCTGCTTTCTTTTTTGGCCCATTTGCTTGTAGGATTGTTTTCCATCCTTTGACTTTGAGCCTATTTTTATCTTTTGTAGCTAAATGTGTTTCCTGGAGACAGCAAAAGGTTGGGTTTTGTTTCTTAATCCAGGCTGCAACTCTGTGTCTTTTTATTGAAGAGTTTAGTCCATTTACATTTAGAGTTAATATTGATATGTTAGCATCTATATTTGCCATTATGTTTGTCTTTCCTTTGATTTTATTTATTTATTCTTTTAGTAACTTTTTTTTTTTTTTTTTTTGGTCTTCTTTCGTTGTTATTCGTCCCTCTGAGGTTCTGGCTTTAGGATTCCTTGTAGTATTTTTTGGAGTGGGGGTTTAGTCGCAATGAAATTCCGGAGTTTCTCTTTGTCTGGGAAGGTCCATATTCTTTCTTCATGGAGGAAAGAGAGCTTTGCGGGATAGAGTATTCTTGGTTGGCATCTGTTTTCTTGGAGTCTGTTGACTATGTCCCTCCACTCTCTCCTTGCCCGTAGTGTTTCTTCAGAGAAGTCTGATGTCAGCCTGATTGGTTTTCCTTTGAATGTTATCTGTTTCTTCCCTCTTGTCAGCTTCATTATTTTTTCCTTGTCCTGGATTCTTGGGAGCTTTACTATTATGTGTCTTGCTGTGTTTTTCCTTTCGTCGTGGAAGTTTGGTGTTCTTCTTGCTTCTTGTATATCAATTTTCAGCTCCTTCTTCTCATTTGGGAAGTTCTCTTCAATTATCTCCTGGAATATTTTCTCTGTTCCTACATCTCTCTCCTCTCCTTCTGGAATTCCTATAACTCTTATATTTCCTTTCCTCATGGAGTCAGATAGTTCCCGAAGTCTTTCTTCATTCTTTTTCCTTCGTACTTCTCTTTCCTTTTCTGTTTTGGTTCTTTTTATTTCTGTGTCTTCAAGATTACTTATTCGTTCTTCCATTTCATCTATTCTGCTTTCATTGCTTTTCCCAGAGTTCTTTAGTTCCTCCATTAATTCTTTGATCTCCTGCATTTCTCTTACTTCCCTCTTTAGGGACTCAATTTCCTTCTTCTGATCTATCACTTTTTTAATCATGGCAATTTTAAATTCTCTTTCTGGAAGGCTCAGAAGTTCTTCCAAGTTGCTGTCGTTGCAATCTGGGGAGTGGTTTTCTTTTTGTGGTGTGCTTCTTTCCTGAGGAGTTTTTAGGTTGTGTGTGGTTCTTCTACTCCCTACTGTCTGTTTTCTAATTTGTCGTATGCGTTGGGACACTGTGTTGCTCGGACTGACTGACATCTTGGGTGAACTTCTCCGCTCCCCTCTGGCTCTTCCAGGAGCCATCTCTGTCTTCTGGGGGAGCTTTCTGCTGGTTTTAGGCAGTTTTTACTGAAGAAATGTCCCTGTTCTCAAATGGCGAAGCGGGATGCAGTCCCTGCGCCTCCGGTTTCAGGCACACTCTTCTGCGCACCCGGTCTGCCCCGGACGTGGGTGCCTGCTCCCTCTGTGGGCTCAGACTGCTGGTCGGAAGGGGCCTGGCGTGGAATAACTTCCCGGCTGGCCACTGGGTCCTCCAGAAACCTTCTGCCCTTTTCAAGCAGTCTTAAGAAATGTCCTGTTTTATAGGGTGTTAGTGACTTTTTTTTTCCTGGTCGCTAGGTGGCGCCAGAGATCTCTCCTATTGTCCTTGGGGGCTGTTTTTCGCCTCCCCCCACCCCGTGGGACAGAGAACAGAGCGGGAATGGTAGGGTACACCTCAACAGCTTTGGGGTGCTGTGTCTGCCTTGTGCCCCACCGTCGTGGAGAAACCACGCCCCGAATTTTCGTGCCCTGGGTCTCAGTTCAAAGCCCTCAGTTCCAGGACGCGGGCTGTAGCCCAGTTCAGTGGTGCGGGAATGGCGCCTTTTGCACCCGCTCCCGTGCCTGGGCGCCTGGTTCCTGCTCACTCAGGGAGGGACCTTCACCTCAGTGAGGACCTCCGCGCGTCTCCCCGCAAGCCTAGGTCGTCTCCCCGCAAGCCTAGGTCGCAGGCGCGGAGACCTGGGCAGCCGCGATCCAGGTCTGCACTTGCTTTTCAAGCGCGCAGAGCGCGCCGCTTTCCCGCGCCAGCTTACCGGCAGCCCGGGCTGTGTGCGCGTCTCCCGGGGTCTTTGTTCTTCTCTAATGGCGCCCGGAGCCGTTCGCTCACCGCCGCGGCGGATCCTGCAGGGTTCGCCTCAGCTCCCGTTCACGGGGTGTGGTGGCTGCAATACTTCCTTTCCACTCACAGTCCCGCTTGCTGCGTCGTTTGTTCTTGTTGGCTGTTTTGGTTTGTTGTTTCCTCCTCTCTGTCGGTCGGAGAGTGCCGCCTCTGTGGGCGGGGGAGGGGAGCAGGGTTCTGCGCTTCCCTCCCTTCTAGTCCTCTTTTATGGCCAGTTTCTTCTTCGGGCAGTTCGCTGGCATCACCCGTTTATCTTCCGTGTCCCAGTTCTCACTGGGACCTGCCGCTTTTCCTCCCTATTCACTTTTTTTAATGGGAGATCTTACTCGCAGCGTCTCCTCGCCGCCATGTTGCTCCGCCCCCTTTCAACAATGTATGATTTCAATTTCATAAAACAAAAGGTCTTGCTGTATTAAAAATGCCAAAGGAAAATTATCAAAATCTTGACAATTCTTTATCACTGAATGAGTTAATTGAGTGATTTTTAACTTTCTTCTTTATAGTTTTCAATATTCTCTAAATTTTCTACCATGGACATATTACTTGTTTTCTTGCCTTTTAAATTTGAAATGTTTGCTAGTTAGTAGAAATTACATATATATGATGAAAATATGATACGTAATAATAAAATGGGTGCCTGTCTACTCATCCTAAGATATAGAACATTACTAAGATTATTGTTTATCTTTAAACTTTATATATAAATGGTACCATACTGTGTATTTTCTTCTGAAATTTGCTTTTTAAATATATTAAACCTGTGTATTCATTTTTACTATTTAAAGATTTATTTATTTATTTATACAAATAAATATATTATTGTATAATATTGTATAATATTCCATTCTGTATGTAGCAATTTAATTATACATTCTTTAACTAATGAACATTGGGTTGTTTATAGTTTTCTTCTGATACAAAATTGTTGCTAAGAACATTCTTGTCCTTGTATCCTGATATATGTGTGGAAACTATCTCTTAGACTAAAGTATGTAACTAGGAAAGGAGTTGCTGGGTTACAGCATATTCACATTTTCTACTCAAATGGTTAATACATAATTATTTTCCAAAGTAATTTTAGCAATATAAGCTCTTACATGCAATGTGCAATAGTTTGTTTCTTCATACCCTTACCAGTATTTGGATGTATGTTCCTTTTTCTTCAGGAAAAAAACAAAAAAACAATGGCTAAAACACATACCTTATAAGAAAACCAGTGAGACTTTCTATTAAAAAATACAAATTGTGTGAGTGTTTGCAGTGATGTGTGATGGTCATGTCCTTGCAGGTATGCCAACAGTAGCCTCATAAAGTACATGGAGAAACACAAGGTGAAGCCTGACAGCAAAGTGTTCCTCTTGGTAGGTACATCTTTCCCAGGCCGGAAAGTTGGATCCTTAGCACAGTTCTCATCTCTTCCCATTTACCATGAAATTGTTCCAGCACTTCCTCCTCCTTTAGAAAGAAAAAAATTGGTGGACATTAGGGCAAATTGAAATGACATCTATTGAGATACCACCCTTGACTTCTGATCTTAATTTTTTAAATGATTTATCAGTAGGAAAAAAATAATTCTAAAAGGGCTTTAATTCTGATAATTTCTGCCAATTTAATATAAAAATGTATAGTATAGTAATCATGCAATGAACTATACAAAATAGCATTTGGTATTATTCCTGAGATAGTAATATACAAATCAAAACATGGATTTATAAGCAACCTTTTCATGTTCTGTCAATTTCTTATGTGTTACTGTAGCTTCAGAAACTCCTCACTATGGATCCAACCAAGAGAATTACCTCAGAACAGGCTCTGCAGGATCCCTATTTTCAGGAGGACCCCTTGCCAACCTTAGAGTATGTATCCTACCTTTTCTATGTCCTTTACTCCAAGTTAAGGATGGTAGATGGCAACACATCACTGTTACTGAAGTATTTTACTTTCTACACTAATTCTACCTCAGGAAAGCTACTGAAGAGGAAGCTTCCATATTTTGAAACAGGCAAAGCTATAGAGAGGTGTGAATGAAAACAAGTGTTCTGGGAATGTCCATAATTAGTAAAGCTGAAAACAGATGGGATGTTTTATAGATCAATCAACCAGATTATTTAAACCAAACCAGTAGGGAACTGAGAATTTAAAATTCCGTGTTCTACTTTGCTACTGGATCCATATATTCCCCATCCTTGTTACACCCACTTATATAAATTGAGGTGCAACATTTCGTTAGAGAAAAAACAATTTTCATTGTGGAAGCACATAGAAATTCAGTTATTTTTGGTGCTGATGAAATTTGTGTGGAAATGTGTATATCACAATATCAATTAGCCAACGGCAGTTAAGATTTGTTAGCGAAAGTGGCAATTACTGTAAAAAATCTAGATAATTAATTGTTCCTTTCTTACTGATTAAATTAAGGTGTGTTGGGAGGCAAGAAATCAGCCACAAAGAGTGGGAAATAAATTAAGAAAAAAATGGTGGAATTTTAAATCAGTGTCAGTGATATTGTAGATTTTAGATCATGGTATATATTCTTTTTTTTTTTTTTTTTAATGATATTTAGTGTGTTTGCTGGCTGCCAGATTCCATACCCCAAACGAGAGTTCCTTAATGAAGATGAGCCTGAAGAGAAAGGTGACAAGGTATAAACTGCGTGGTATGCTTTCACTTCCAGAGAGTAAGGGAATCAAAAAGAGAACATTGAGAAGTATAATTTAATATTTTCTATATATTTTACTACCTTCAATTAATTTATTTATTGTAGGTATACTTTGAAATTTGAGATACAATAAGTTTACAGATGAGTGAACTTCCTGATTTGTTTCGTAGCCTATCTTATTCCCCAATTCTTAATTCTTGCTCTTTTTGTTCAGTGTCGCTATCATCACTGTATCCAGGCTGTTTTCCTAAGCATCATTCTGTACTTTGATCATAATTGGATATATCTGGCCTTTCCCCAGCCTTTCCTACTTTTCCAAAATCATGATAGAAAAGACTATTATAGCTATTTTAATGAGTGTAGATTTCCTGATGCCTTATGGATTTCAGAGGGATGTCTGTGACTGATTTGGAGGATAACCGTGTAATCTAAATGAACCTAAGAGAATGAGTAATCAGTGCTTTGCCTTTGGGGATTTGGTCTGCCCTTGCTGCTTCATCCTCCACTTGTTCCAGTCACTTTGGTTTCCCACATAGGTTGCTCCCCAGGTTGGTCAGTAGTCACACATACATAGTAAGTCATAAAAGAAATGTCTTGTTCATTTAGTTCTATGACAAGTTTGCTCTTCTCTGTTTTTTTCCTATTAAGAATCAGCAACAGCAGCAGAACCAGCATCAGCAGCCCACAGCCCCACCACAGCAGGGAGCAGCCCCTCCTCAGGCACCCCCGCCACAGCAGAACAGCACCCAGACCAATGGGACTGCGGGAGGAGCGGGCGCCGGGGGCACTGGAGCCGGGCTGCAGCACAGTCAGGACTCCAGCCTTAATCAGGTGCCTCCAAACAAGAAACCGCGGCTAGGACCTTCAGGCGCAAACTCAGGGGGGCCTGTCATGCCGTCAGATTATCAGGTACTCCCCGAAATTTTGCACTTTTTGTGTTTACATGTTTTATGAAATGGGAACTAGATTTTTAAAAAATATTTTTATTTACTTTTTTATTTTATTTACTTTCTTCCATTATTGTTTGTTTTTGTACAGTATTTGATTTCTCCCATCAGTTGTAGTCCCTGTAATTCTCCCACCACCACCAGAGCACCCATCAAAGTCCCTTGTGCTCTTTTCTCCCCTCTTTTGGCCCCTTTGCTTACCCCTCCCTTACTGTATGCCTCAGATCTATAGTTTGCGTCAAGTTTTGTCTTTTTCTAAGTTTTGTTGAGCTTCCCTGTATTCCACCTATAAGCGAAACCATCTGATATTTTTTTTTTTCCTTTGGACTATTTGGCTAAGCATAGTCCCTTTCAGCTCCATCCTTGTTGCTGCAAATGGCATTTTATCTTTTTTGATCACTGAGTAGTATTCTAGTGTGTGTGTGAGTTTGTGTGTGTTCACCACATCTTGATCATTCATGTTTTTGGACATTTAGGTTGTTTCCATATCTTGGCTATTGTAAATAGTGCTGCAATAAACATGGGAGTGCAGGTTTCCTTTTGAACTAGTGTTCTTGTGTCCTTTCGTTAGATTCATAGTAGTAGAATCGCTGAATCATTAAGGTAGATCCATTTTCATTGTTTTGAGGGTGTCCACACAGCTTTCCATAGTGTCTGAACCAGTTTGCATTCCCACCAGCAGTGGGAATTCTTCTACATTCTTCTCAGCACTTGTTTCCAGTTTGGTATTTTTTTAATATGGGCCATTCTCACTGATGTGAAGTGGTATCTCACTGTAGTTTTGATTGGCATTTCTCTGATAATAAATGCTATTGAACCTTTTTTTTATGTGTTGTTGGCCATTTACATTTCTTCTTCTTTTAGCTCTTCTGCCCATTTTTTGACCAGGTTCTTTGCTTTATTTTTGGTGAGTTATGCAAGCTCCTTGTAGATCTCAGATATCAGTCCCTTATGTATGTATGTTTGGTGTGCAGATAGTTTCTCTCATTCAGTAGGATGTCTCTTCATTTTGGTTATTGTGTCTTTCACTGTACAGAAACTTTTTTTAAGATTTATTTATTTATACAAGAACCGGGGTATAGGCCAGATGTGCGGGAAGGACTCACCAGAGACAGAGTGGGGAACAGAACAGGCAGACTGACGAAATACACTGCTGAGAGGAGCAGCGGGCGAGACAGGAGAGGTCCCATGTGGGATTCTTGCCGGCCTGTGGCGATTGAATCCGCGCTGCAGAGGCTGCAGACAGCTTTACAGCGCGGCACTCAACCGACTGCGCCACCAGGGAGGCCCTGTACAGAAACTTTTTAGTCTGATATTGCTCCAGATGTTTATTTTCTTTCTTTTCCTTAATTCTGAAGATGAGTCCTCAAAGATATTTTGAGGTATATGTAATGAAGTGTTTTGCCTATGGTTTCTTCTATTTTATGGTTTCAGGTCTTACATTCAAGTCTTTTATCCATTTTGAGTTGGGTTTTTTTGTATGGTGTGAGATACTAATCTAGTTTTATTCTTTTGCATGTGGTAGTCCAGTTTTCCCAGCACCATATATTGAAGAGGCTGTCCTTGTTCTAGTGCACAGTGTAATTTCTTTGCTCCTTTATCATAGATTAGTGATCATATATGTGTGGCTTTATTTCTGGGGCTTCAGTTTGATTCCATGGGTCTATGTGTCTATTTTTTGTTCCAGTACCATGCAGTTTTTCATTATTATGGCTTTGTAGTATAGTTGGGAGTCTGGGAGTATAATACTTCCATTCTTCCCCCTTTTGCTCAGGAGAACTTTGGCTATTTGAGGTTTTTTGTGATTCCATCTAAATTTCAGCAATATTTGTTCCATTTGTTTGAGATTTTTATTGGGATGGCATTTAATCTGTAAATTGCTTTTGGTAGGATGATTAGGAAACTAGATTTATATTATATCCCATTGTAATTATGTTGTATTTAACTTTAATGTTTGTACTGTCTCTAGGGCGTTATATGAAAATGAACATTTTTGTCATGTCATTTAATTTTAGCATACTTAGTTTCTTGATTTGTTTATGCTAATACTCCAAGGAGGGAAGATGAGGCAGACGCCTCCTTCCTAAAATAAAATTTCTCACTGTACCCCTAATTACTGCTACCTATATTAACTTTGGGTCAGAAAAAGATACCTAGCCTAAGCACTTGTAAAGAGAGAGAAGTGGCATCTTATTTTGAACAAAATAAACTTTATACTTCAGAAAGAGTTGCTTTCACTGGGAGGAAATATTCAGTAAGTAGCCACATAAACACAGATAAGAGTGGAATTAAGGGGGCCTCCCTGGTGGTACAAGGGCTTAAGTCTCAGCATTATGAAGCAATATGCAGCCACTGCAGCAAAGTTAGATCCCTGGCCAGGGAATTGACTCACATTGTGCTGCAGACCACTTTTGTCTCACCCGCTGCTTCATTCAGCAGTATATTTCAGTGGATCTGCCTGTTCTGCTCCCCCTCTGTCTCTGGTGAATCCTCTCACCTTCCTGTACCTGTGCTCTTGTATGCATAAATAAATACATTTTTAAAAATATGCAATTAAGAGTCAGAAATAATAGTTAAATCTCACTAGGAATAATTTTAAGGCTAGAAAATACTTTCTTGTTATTAAGATACAAAGAAAGCTACAGTTTTACCAGTTCAGGTAATTAAAGAAAAAAACCAGAATTACAAATTGAAGAGAAAAAAGCATAGGAAGTCTTGCCCCCACCCACCCAAAACAAACCAAAAACAAACCAAAAAAACTCAGAAACATTTTTAGGGTAGTAACAAGCTAAGAAAAGATCTAAGAAGAAAGGGGAAAGCTTAAATGAAAGCAAAAAACAAAGATTTAAAGCCATAGTCCCTCCGGGAACCTGAGGAAGAGGACTTAGCTAGAGATAATAGAAAACACAACCACAGGCAAGGGAGCCATAAACTCACTGATAAGGAACTGGAATCTAGAGAAACATTAGCAAGAAGACATAATAAATAGCTGCTTAAACAGGCTTTACATTTTGAATATCTCAACAAACTAATGTGTTTTCACACAACTATTTCTCTGAAAACTTCTTTCCAAAGATTCCCAGTAAGCAGGAGTATGGAATACCACCTCCATGTGGTTCCAATTAAACTAATCAAGGCTTCAGTTTGACCTACGAAAACAACTTGCTATTTGGGTAGTAGTCATGAACATATTTGAGTTTTATTATAAATTCCGTTTCCCCCCAACTTTATTTTTAATTATAGATGCAGCGCACCTTTACTACATACTGAGCTCATCTTTGTATCTGACTGTATTATACTAACCTGATTAAAGACAATTACTGCTGACTTCTTTCAAATCAAAGCGTTCTTCTAATGCTTCTGTCTGTTCTGTGCTGTCCATTTAAAATAACACAGCATATCTATGGAATGGATAGATCTCAGCTATTTAGTTGGAGAGACTAGTGTGAGGTGAGGGAGTTCCCAAATATTTGCAACTTTCATATTCTCAAAATGTTTATTCTTTCTTTATTTGACATGGAAGAACTATTGTGGTGAGTCTAACCTGAGAAAGCAAAAAGCAGACTTAGCCAGTCTTACAATTGTAGGGCTTGTGAAGAGAAAGAACACTTTTTCATTAAAAAAAACTTAAATAAACAAATAGTTAGAAATTGGAATTTTCAAAGGCTTCTTACACAAACACAACTAATCAGAGTTATGTAACTGAGGAGGGAGCAAAGCAGAGTTGTTTTTATAAAAGGCTGTCCTACTGCCCTGTCGCCTTGGACCAGATGTTGCAAGTCCAGTTTGGCTGCTTTGTATACCAGGTGGGGAGTCCTTGTTGATATTTGTCATTCCTTGAGCTCCCAGTACCACCTCAAGGTCATTTACATTTTTTAACTCCAAGTAATGACTTTATTACATATATTCTCTCTCACTTGGCTTACACCAGGCTTCTAAGCATAGCCAAAGACACTGGTTCTAGCTAAGTTTATATTTAATCAGGTGCCGTGTTCTTATTCTGTAGATGAATTTTCCTTTACATACTTTGAAGATGAGTGTTTCATTTAAAGTAATAAAAATATATTGAATTGAAATAGATGTATCTCTGCTTTCTCTTGGGGGCATTTTCAGGAATGAAAAATATTTTATTCTAAATAGTACCTGAAGTTTATAAAATCCATTTATTGCTGCCACATGCTGCCCCGCCTTGCCAAACAAGGCAGGGTGATGCTGCTGCTACCTCTCCAAGCCTCCACCTCTGAAAGCTCTTCTCAAAAAAAATGGTATCTTAATCACAGCTTTGTTATTTATGAGAACATTGTCAGTATGTGTTATAACTACCATTGATTTAGTGTGTCAAACTGATCATTTTTGTTTGCAAATCTCCATTATGCAAAGAAAAACAAACTAGAATTAGTACAAAGAGCAGTGGGTCAGCATGTTTCTCCTCTCCCTTTCTTTGCCAGTTCAGCTAATCTCCCAAAGAAATCCAGCCAAACTTGGTGCCAAATAAGCAAAATGTATTAATAACCTCAGTTAGCTGTCAGCTGCCATGTGTTTGAACCAGGAGCCTCTGATGAAAATGGCTCGTTTTTCTGTCTTATTGTGGTGAACATCTTTAGCCATTTTCCTTCTTCCATCAGTAATTCCCTTTTCCTGCTTTCCTCTTCTAGCACTCCAGTTCTCGCCTGAATTACCAAAGCAGCGTTCAGGGATCCTCTCAGTCCCAGAGCACACTCGGCTACTCCTCCTCATCCCAGCAGAGCACGCAGTACCACCCATCTCACCAGGCCCACCGGTACTGACCAGCTGCAGCCCAGAGTACAGACTCCAGCAATATGTCTGCATTGAGAAGAACCAAAAATGCAAAGTGATGCCGCTTCAAACTCATCTGATCAGGAGGAAAACTATATACTGAGCAATTTGCAGGACCAACTGATGATGTCTCTTCTTTATTGACTTAAAGAAGATTTTTGTGAAGTTTCCCCAACACCCTTCCCTGCATGTGTTCCATTGTGACTTCTCTGATAAAGCATCTGATCTAATCCCAGCACTTCTGTAACCTTCAGCATTTTTTGAAGGATATCCTGGTGCACCTTTCTCATGCTGTAGCAATCACTATGATTTATCTTTTCAAAGCTCTTTTAATAGGATTTTAATGTTTTAGAAACAGGACTCCAGCAGTGTATAGTTTTATACTTTGTGAACTAATTTAGCAACACAGGTAAAAATGCACCTTTTAAAAGCACTACGTTGTTTTCACAGAATATAACTGTTTTGCTCATGGAAGTCTTAAACAGAAACTGTTACTGTCCCAAAGTACTTTACTATTATGTTTTTATTTATCTAGTTTCAGGGAAGGTCTAATAATAAGACAAGTGGTGGGACAGAGAGAACTACAACCAAAAACAGCCTAGATCTTTGCAGTTACTATGCTTTATGCTCTGAGAACTGAAGGATGTGGTAATTTTTATATAATCATTTATATGGAACTTAGTTCCCAGAATCATCTTATCCTGAATAGTATTCAGTAATTAAGATTTATAATTTTAACCTTCATGTAGCTAAGTCTACCTTAAAAAGGGTTTCTGGAGCTTTGATGAAATACAGTCCTCTGGTGACCCACACCAGAAAACTGACGAGAATGTTAACTGCACTAGGATTTCTTTAAGGAATAATGTTGATCAAAGGATGTATTACTTCCCTTTGAAGGAAAAGCTTTTAGTGTGTATTGTATATAAAGTTGGCTTCTCTGAAGAACCGTTGGTTTCTTCACATCTGGGTCAGCTTGAGTAACTTTTACATAATCAAGGGTACTCGAATAGAAGCCTGCAAATTAATCTGCTTTTAAAATAAAGAGCAGTGTTCTCCATTCATATTGCATTAGACATAGAGTGACTATTTTTAAAGCATGTTTAAAATTTAGGTTTCATTCATGTTTAAAGTATGTATTATGTATGCATAATTTTGCTGTTGTTACTGAAACTTAATTCTATCAAGAATCTTTTCATTGCACTGAATGCTTTCTTTTGCCCCTAGGAGAAAACTTAATAATTGTGCCTAAAAGCTATGGCAGATAGTATAAGACTATATACTCGATAAAGTGCATATTTGCATTTCCATGATCTATGAAGTAGAGGCTGTGTTCTTAGCCAGTTTAAGGAACCTCCTCAATCCCCGGAATCAAAAGGAAGTGTAAACACTTAGCGCTCCCATTGTAATGTAAGGGGCAAGAAATTTGTGTTCTTCTGAATGCTACTAGCAGCACCAGCCTTGTTTTAAATGTTTCCTGAGCTAGAAGAAATAGCTGATGTTGTATATGCAAGTTATATGCTTTTTTTTTTTATTATTCTTTGTGAACTTATCTACCTGGTTATGATACTCTGGGTCCATACACAAGTAAAATAAGATTTTAGACAGAAGCCAGTATACATTTTGCACTATTGATGTGATACTGTAGCCAGCAAGGACCTTCCTGATGATCTCAGCATAAGAATACTTATAACAACAAAGACTGATACTCATCAACACTGAAGATGAAACAGTTGACAGGATCCACTGAAAGGAATTTCTGATTGTCTCCACTGTAATTTACCCCCTTCTATCTTTTAAAACAAGGAGTTAAGAGCCCTCGGTGTAATGTAGCTATTGTACAAAAGCTCTGTCCTATCCCCTGAGGCCTCACTGTCCATACTGCTTGTCTGAGGCTCACCACACCCTCACCCGGTGCCGCATTCCATGTTGGGTTTAAGATACAGGGGGCAAGGGTGTACTTTCTGTCCCCAAGGAGCTGCCGATGGCTCTGTGACAGGAAGTTTCCTGGGATGTCTCTGCCATGTCATTGACTTGTCAGCGAAACTGTCTTTAACACAAGGGTTACTTTTGTTTACTTCTGAACCCACTTAGTCATTCCAAATTCCGCTCTACAGTCAACAGTGTTAAGGAGAGATTTGTAGTCTACCTTCAAGAAGAGTTGGCATGTAAATATCACATCTGGCATTAATGTTTATTTGAACTATTCACAGCAGCCTTTTAACAACAATTAGGCGGCCCCTGTGGTAGCATATGTTCTATTAAGTGGTTGTAGGAAATTAGCAATGAAAATGGAAGTTCTGTTTTTGCCCTAAAGAGCTTCCATTTAATAAAAGACAAGCCCCCCCAAAATGTGCATATGAACCAAAATACCATGCCCCTTAATACTTTATCAGCAACTTTGATAATGCAGTTCTTATGATATGTGCTTAGACGATCACAGACTAGCCTGCTTTCCTTGTATATAAAGAATTTTATTGGCAGAACTGACGTATATGCTTCAAGGGGATTTCATCAGTTGCCCCCTATACTCACTAGTCTCCAAAATAATGCTGACCAGAAATCCCCATTCCACACACAAGTGGGTTTTGGCCCTGGTGCTGGTATGGCCATTACTTCCTATTGCTCATGCCCCTGGGGGCCCACTCCCCTTTGAAATAATTTTGGCATTTAGCACATTCAAGGACCCTAAAACTGTGCCACCTTGAAGTTGACCTGTGAAGCTTTTCGAGGTTAAAGTTTAGTTTTGTGGTTCCCAAATAACTACATTCCTCTTTGAAAATTGGTAACTGTCATGTCCCCTGAGAATGCAGGGGGGACATCCTGTAGCATATGGGATCACCCAAACCAGGGGAAGTTACTGAAAGGGAAGAAGGAATTAAAGTGAAGGTTTTCTGGTCTCCATATTACAAATCAATTTCCATGTTAGCTTTTTGTTGAGATACATGTTTGAGAGAAGGGATTCTAGACTTTCAGGATGGCTGAGCTCAAGGTTAAGGTAGCCTGCCTGGCTGCAGCTGATACTATAAGGCTGAAACAATCCTTGTGAAGTAGATCATGCAGTAACATACAAAAACCAAGGACATGTATATTTTTATATCTGTGTGGTTTTAAAACTTTAGTACTTAGAATTTTGGCATTCTGCACTACTCTTTTGCTCTTATAAATGTAATTTACTCTTAAGAATGGAAAGGAAAGACATTTAGCTACATGTTCACTGTCTCATTCCTGGGGAAGCCACCGCTACTTGTATGCTTCTAAAATGATGCTATTTTTTTCTGCTAATGGTAAAAGAAAAAAGTAGTTGGAGAGTAAAGCTTGCAGCTTACTCTCATAGAATACATTTATGTAGCAGAAACTATACAAAGAAGGAAGAATTCTATGAAAATGGCAAATCCTGAACTCTATGGCGATATCTTCTTCCTGGCAATGGAGAAAGGCAGTGAAATAGTAGACTGAAAAAGGCTTGAAGGATTCAATTATAAGATTTTATATAAAACATAGCAGTTTAGGTCCCCATAATCTTCAATAATAGTCACAAATATCATAGAAGAAAGTTCATTGTTTTAGGATTTTTAAAAAAAAATGTGTTGTACCTAAGGCCATACTTACTCTGCTATCACTGCAAAGGGGTGATATGTATGTATGATATGAAAAAAAAAATCCTTAATGCACTGTTATCTCCTAAATATTTAGTAAATTAATACTATTTAATTTTTTTAAAGATTTGTCTGTGTAGACACTAAAAGTATTACACAAAATCTGGACAGAAGATGTCCTTTTTAACAACAATTTAAAGTAATTTTTATATATGTTATGTAGTATATCCTTTCTAAACTGCCTAGTTTGTATTTCCCATAATTCCTATTTGTGAAGTGTACCTGTCCTTGTCTTTTTCAGTCATTTTCTGCACGCATCCCTCTTTATATGATTATAGAGATGACTGTGTATGCTTCCCACACTCTGCTGTGAGCTGTGTGCTCAGAGCCGGCTGCACCCCAGCAAGGCCTGCTCTTTGGGGGTGCATGACGAGCTGCTGCTTTGGAGCTGAGTGTTTCCTGCTTTTGAGTTGTCCTGACATCCTTCTTGAAATGACTGTTAAAACTAAAAGAAATTACATTGCATTTATTTTATATTCTTGGTTGTAATAAAATTTAATTGACTTTGTTTCTGTGTGGATTTTTTAAGAATAAGGAAACTGATCAACTAACTTGGAATGTTAACATTTTATCTGTGTGCCTAGAAGATTTTCAGATTGCACTTGTCCTGCAGAGAAGCAGACTATCCCCGTGAGCTACAATATGTTACTTTTTTAAAAAATAAAAGTTTTTTTTTTACATCATTGTTCATTTTTAAACAATATTTGCTTCCCCCCCCCCTTGCAATAATGTTACTTTATTCAGAATGCTCATATCACAAAAGAAGCAAATCTTGTAAGTATCTCAGAAGCAGGATGACGGTTTTTAAACTGTCTGAGGGAAGCAAACCTTTTCTCTGATTTTTGTGTGTGAGAATGATGTTTTAGAAAAAACTAGTGGGCAAGGTTTTTTTTGTGGCTAAAGTGGCATTGTGAGTTTCTCCCTTTATAAGAACATTCTGTTGTGCCTGGCTGCCTCTTCTTAATTTATTTTGTGAGACTTCTATGGTCAAGCATCATGGAGTGAAATGAAGAATAAGTGACAAACACAGAACTTCCATTTCTTTCTAAAATAGATATTGCACATGTCCCATGGCTCCACTGCTCAGCACAGATTACATATTCTGTATTATTTGTAGGGTAGGTCTTCTCGTGGAAAACTTCTTCGACCACAACTGCCTTTCTAACCAACCACCTGAGTAAGATGAAATGAATGACTAAACAAACCCCTCACCACTCCTGGAGAAACAACTGAAAAGTATGGGTCCATCTCCTTAGCAGATTGTAAGTTCTTTGTGGACATGCCCCTCATTTTCTTCTATGCCCCTCATTTTCCCACCATTTGGCATGATGCTCAACAAGGCACATGTTCATTATGGCATGACAATAGCATCGCTTGTACACATAGTATTCTTGGGTTGTATAATAGGCCGTGTTCATATATTGACAAGTCTGAAAGAATGTGATTTTGTTCCATGAATAATGAAAATGATAGAAATAGGTGCAACTTTCTTGAGCCATGTTCATTTATTTTTGGCTGCAAAGTCATAAAATACCACCCTAAAGGGACAAACAATTCAAATTGCATTTGGATAAAAAATTAAGCCAAGTTAGTTATACTGCCAATCTTCAGAAGCCATCTTTTCTTTTGTCTGCCTAGAAGTGGGCATTTTAAAGACCTCAAGAGCATGTCCCAGATGACTAACAATGTTGAGCATTTTCTCATGTGCTTATTGAGTGCTAGCATTATTTTCATTGGTGTCTAAGACATTTTTCCACTGAATTTGATTTTTATTAATTTATAAGCACTCTTTATATGCTGAAATATGTCCTCTCTGACTGGACACCACGAATATTTTTGTTGTTTTAATTTTGACAAGGTCCAGTTTTTCCACTTTTAGTATGTGTGTATATACTAAAAAACTGATTCCCTGCAAGTGTCATCTTTATTTCTTCTAGAAGATTTATAGTTTCAGCTCTTAAGTTAGGTCTAGGATCCATCTCAAAATAATATTTATGTACATTGTGAGTTAGGACAAGGGTGACTTTTTTTTTTAATATGACTATCTGGTGGTCCTCCCCGGTGGTGCAGCGGTTGAGTGCTGGGTTGCGAAGCTGCCCGCAGCCTCTGCAGCACCGGTTCGATCCCCGGCTGCTCCCCAGCCACCAGAGGAGGGTCCCGCATGGCGCTCAGACCTCTCCTGCCGCCCGCTGCTCCCCTCAGCAGTGTACTTCGGTCCTTCTGCCTGCTCTGCTCCCCGCTCTGGCTCTGGTGAATTCTCTTACCCTCCTGCGCTTCTGACTGTACCCAGTGCTTGTATAAATAAATAAATAAATGAATAAATCTTTGTATAAAAAAATGACTATCTGGCTATTCATATATCATTTGATAAAAAGAAATGTATTTCCCTCATTGAATTGCATTTGTGTCTTTGTCCAAAGATTGAGCCCACTAAGGAAAGTGGAAAGAAGAGAGAGATTCTCTAGTGTACAGGGGGTGAAGGGTCCCTCTGAGATGTGCTGCTTCTTGTGAATGAGTCTGATTCCCAGACTGCAGTCTGCTGGTGAGTGCCCTGAGAAGGAAGGCTGATGGAGTTGGTGATGATGTCTAAGCCCATAATCTCTAAACCAGTAAGGTCTCTTCCAGAAAGTCCTGCACTTAGTATAAACTGTTGAAGCATCCTCCAATTTGAGCAGGACATGGATTATAGGGTCAAAGGAAAGAGAAGGTCCAGATGAAAATAGTAGAGGAGCAGAAAAGGTGGGTTCAGAAAATACAAAGTTATTTTATTCCCTGAGGTATTTGTACAAACTTATCAAGCCTTTTTAACCACAAGCATTTCAACTCTACTCATATATCTAACAATCTTAAATTTTTTTTTTGCAGTTCT